ATTTATTTATTTATTTATTTATTTATTTTATATAAGAAACGTTTCTTAATTAGCATAAAAAGTTACTAGTTCCTTAAAGTATCACCAAATGGTGTTTGTATGAATGATTTTTCCCAAACGTTTTAGTTCGAAAACATCATTTCTATAGTATTTTCTACAATGTAATACAAACAATATCTTACTGTAGTGAGTGCAAATACAGTATGTTGCATACATTTAGTCCTTGCACCTTTTGCACGGCACATTATTCGGCTGTCATAATAATGTTTACCAGTAGATGGCGCCAGAGGCAAGGAATTGGGTCAGAATTGCTTGCATTACTTGGATCAGTCAGTGTTTTATATATGTATTTATATTTTGATGGATCTCACACCTACTGATGCATATTTTGCACAAAGTTTTGCAACTTTTGTATTTGTATTTCGCTGTCTGGTGGCTATGCAATTTCTGGGAATGTTAAATTCCACATAAAAACAAGCTCTGGTTGATTTCCATTGTGTTATTTAGCTAGAAGTTGCAATGCTCTTAAAGGGTTAGTTCACCCAAAAATCTAAATTCTGTCATTAATTACTCACCCTCGTGTTGTTCGAAACCCGTAAGACTTTCGTTCGTCTTCGGAACACAATTTAAGATATTTTTGATTAAATCTGAGGGCTCTCTGTGTTTAAAAAGAGCAATTTGTAATTCTGTCAAATAAAAGTTTGACCAACATACTAAAGCACATGTAAACTATAGTGTGTTTGATAATATACTTAACATACTTTAAATGTACTAAACTGCAAATTCATCACTATGAATGTGCAATTACATAATGACAAACATATTTTAATAGAAATTACATTAAAGTATATTTTAGTTTACCATATACTGTACTCGGCAGTATGATTTATTTTTTTAAATTATGAAATTATATGTAAAGATGTATATGCTTAAGTGGGTCAATAGCCTACGTTCAGCTGATTGTATTCAATATAAAGTGAATCTATAATATGTTTTCATTTAATTGTCATTTGGTTACAATATAAATGTCTGTACATCAGCTAAATCATATTCTAACATGATGCTTCATGTGTCTGCTGTAGCTGCAGGATGAACTTGTGTCGCTGCTCTCCTGTCAGATTCCTGTGTTTTGTTCTGGTGAAGTGAAGCTGAACTCTTTTGTGTCTCTGGAGCTCTTGCTAATGAGACGGAGGCTGAACTGAAACGAGATGTTTACTGGCTCTCTCCAAAATCCACTTCAAATCCAGCCTTACAACTTGTTTCTTTAGGAGCGCTTTTAAACAGTTTCTTCCTCTTTTGAACCTTAAAAAGTTAATTATTATTATTTGATTATGATGATTCATCTCATCTTTGTTGCTAGGAGCAGCTGTCAGAATATGAAGCTCATACATTGAAGCATATAACTGTGGATGTCAGGATATGAAGAGATTATTGTTATTATTGTTAGACATGATGAATTTCAGCAGGATGGAAGATTAGGTTGATTTTTTTAAATGATTATATAATAATTATGATTAATACTACTACTACTAATAATAATATTTATATATATATAAACCTTTATGGGCTCTATGTGGTGAGAGAACCTTTTTTTGTGATATGTTTGTTTGTTTATTCATTTATGTATTTTTATTCAGTTTTTTTAAAGGGTTAGTTCACCCAAAAATGAAAATTCTGTCATTAATTACTGTTCGGAACACAATTTAAGATATTTTTGATGAAATCTGAGGGCTCTCTAACCCTCCCATAGACAGCAAGGTAACTACCACGTTCAAGGTCCAGAAAAGTACCAAGATGATCGACAAAATAGTCCGTGTGACATCAGTGGTTCAACTGTAAAGTTACGAAGCTACGAGAATACTTTTTTGCGCAAAGAAAACAAAAATAACGACTTTATTCCACTGTCGTTTACGCGCGTCCACAAGTGACGCAGTAGAGACGAAAATGTGGAATAAATTCGTTATTTTTGTTTTCTTTGAGCAAAAAAGTATTCTCGTAGCTTCGTAACTTTACAGTTGAACCACTGATGTCACGCGGACTACTTTGTCGATCATCGTGGTACTTTTTTGGACCTTGAACGTGGTAGTTACCTTGCTGTCTATGTATTTTTGTCACCGATGGAGTTTCGGTTCCTTTGGCTTGCTTAGTTGGGGACACTTGACTGATTGCACAGACACTATTTCACTATTTTCCTGTTTGACACTGTAAAGCTGCTTTGACACAATCAGTACTGTATAAAGCGCTATACAAATAAAGGTGACTTGATGTACATCAAAAACATAGTTGCTACCCAGCTAACAGGGAATGTTCTCACAACGTTTTTTGAACGTTATTTAAATGTTAGGACAAAACGTTCTTAAAGTAATAGTTATGAAACGTTCTCATAATAAACTGGAGATCAACATCAGAATGTCCTTATGATGTTATTTGTACTTGAATGTTTTAAGAATTTCTGTAACTTTTAAATAACTTTAGAGTCACAAGAAGAAAACCAGGCATTTCATTGTTTTAAAAAGGTTCAAATAATGTTATATTTTGGGCGACAACAAAGTTAGTAGAATGTTGTATAAAACACTTTAAGAACCTTTAAATAGTGCTCTAATCACAACAAGAAAACTGGACATTTTAATGTTCTTAGAATATTAAAATAAGCATTCAAATAACATTTGGAGTGACAAAGTTAGTAAAATGTTTTAAAAAAACGTTTTTTGTAACCTTTAAATAACTTTATAATCACAACAAGAAAACTGGACAATTGTAACATTCTTATAAAATTAAAAATGAACGTTCAAATAACATTTTGAGTGACAATAAAGTTTCTGATACAAAAATAAATCAAGGCACATTTGCTCCAGTTATCACTGACAAAAGTGAACAAATGCATAATGCAAAACATTTAAGAATACTATTAATAAAAACCATCCAACCAATTCACATGCACAGTTAAAGATAATTAGAAATGCAGTCACAATAAAACAAAGAAGTCTGTAAAGGCCTGTCACAACTTTTCTGTGGGAAATTAATACAGATCATGGCCCGATTCATTCACTTAATTGCCTGAAGTAGAAATGTATATTGTAAAACAAATGCTGCAACTGAATTTAATGTAATCACTCAAAATCTGATTCACAATCAGCTCAGTGATATTGCATTGGCACCAGTAGTTTTATAGTACCAGAACAAGTCTAGGTCATATTTTCATGCCAAAATCTAAAGGAAATAAATTTTGCAAACAGACACTGAACTCGGTTTTCAGTAGTCCATTAAGCACAATTAAGCAAATTACTAAACTAAATATATTTTTGCATACATTAGACCATAACTGTCAGATAGATATTTAACAATTTAATTAAAACATTATTTTGTGCATTCCAGTTATGAACATTTTGGGGCAGAAATGTTATGAAAATACAGAAAAATATGATATTAAAATAAAAAATAATAAATAAAAGAATTAATGTTTATTACATTTATTTAATTTTCATTAAATAAATGTAATAAAAATTAATAAAATTATATACTGTATGTATATATATATATATATATATATATGTTCTTGACAGGTTAACAATTTAATTAAAACATTATTTTGTGCATTCCAGTAATGAACATTTTGGGGTAGAAATGTTATGAAAATACTGAAAAATATGATATTAAAATAAAAAACAATAAAATTTTTTATTATTATAATAAATTTTTATTTTATTATTAAAATAAAATTTAACCTCCTTTTTGATATGGAGGTTAAATATGTCCCTGACAGGTTTTGTGAGATTGTTGTACTTCTAGCTCTCAAACAAACAGACAGACAGTTTGTAATTGTGCAGCTAGACCAGTGCGTATTCGAACTGTCCCCTCTCCAATCCGTCTTTAGGATCAGACCACGATGAGGACGGCATGCTGCTGTAGGGGTCCAGGAGAATCCGGAAACACCGCACCAGCAGGAACACCAAAAACAGCAGCAGGAGCCCCACGAAACAAAGCGCCGTGATCTGCTCTGTGTCCGGAGCCAGCAGGAGCCCCGCCGTGGCCCCGGGGCCCGAGACAGGAGCCAGAGACTGCAGCTCGTACTCCATCAGAGGGCTTTCACTCATCTCCTCAGAGATAAAGAGAGTCCGGTTTCTGAGGACCAGAGGATCCTGGTTTAAAGGATTAAAATCTCAATTGTTTCTCTTATACGGCAATGATATTAAATGGAGAGCAAATGGAGACACCTCCTGACAGGGTTATTATAGTTAACTAAAACTAAAATCATAAAAACATTTTACTTAAAATAACATAAAATTTTATTGAAAAAAAAAATATATATAAAAAACCTTGAACTTATCTCAGCTAGTTGCCAAGTCAACATTTCTCACTTAATTGAACTTTATGTACTAAAATAACTAAACTTAAATATTTAATTAACTTTAAATCCATAAAAATGTGCTCATCATTTAAAATAAATTTTATTGAAATAAAATATAAAAACATTCTTATTTTAATTCAGCTAGTTGCCAAAGCAACATTTCTTATTTAATTTAACTTTATGATTTCTGCCGCTCCAAATGTGCCTCCTGCTGGCAGAGAATGAATGTGCATTTTTAATAAGCCTGTCTGCTGGTTTTGTTCAGACCAATGTGAAAATCAACCCATGTTTTTACGAGGCAAGCACGCAGTTGTAAATGTGAACCGGTGGATAGACTTCTAAAAAATCTAAAAGACATGAAGATATAGATTCATACACTTTAAATTAATATAATAATATATACATTTCACTCATCCCTTTTCTTAAAAATTTAATTTAAAGGCTAAAATGTGCCGTTTATCATTTTATAACACTTTTTGCTTTGTGAAAACCTGTATCTGAACTGTAAATCATGTACTTTTATGGTTAAAGCAACATTTCTTATTTAATTTAACTTTATGATTTCTGCCGCTACAAATGCACCTCCTGCTGGCAGAGAATGAATGTGCATTTTTAATAAGCCTGTCTGCTGGTTTTGTTCAGACCAATGTGAAAATCAACCCATGTTTTTACGAGGCAAGCACGCAGTTGTAAATGTGAACCGGTGGATAGACTTCTAAAAAATCTAAAAGACATGAAGATATAGATTCATACACTTTAAATTAATATAATAATATATACATTTCACTCATCCCTTTTCTTAAAAATTTAATTTAAAGGCTAAAATGTGCCGTTTATCATTTTATAACACTTTTTGCTTTGTGAAAACCTGTATCTGAACTGTAAATCATGTACTTTTATGGTTTAATGTTACCCTGCCTCACTCATATGGCCTATTAATTTTATTTGTGCAGATCCTCAGGGTAATAAAAAGCCTTAAATTTTAAAACTCCTGCAGGTACCCTGTAAATAGTGAAATAAAATCCCCTCCTAGATATTGTGTTTGGAAAATGTTTTTGATTGATGTTTCGACTCCTATCCAATTTTCTACATTAAAAAAGGTCTTTTTTTATGCAGGCTACTTAAATTCATTTTGTTCTAGCAAAATCTGCCTGCCAGAAGGGCTTCCAGGCATTTTGAAATGTGAGCCCTGTACTGCATGACAACTATTGTCTATTGTTATTTCTCCTTTTGGGAGAAAAATCTGAGACGAAGTTGATGCTTGAATGCAATATTTGCTCTTGCACTGAAAGAGCAATAATATTTCCTCTAGAATAACCTGCCCATGTAAGCATGCCATCAGCAGTTACTTTACCTCACAAGTAGATGCAATGAGAAATCAGACCGATGCAACAGGATCTCCATACACAGAACGGCCGAAGCTCAATTATCAGAGGCAACAGTCTGCAGACTACATCCAGTCCTGTCCACATCATCAAGTGATCTCAGACAGACCTTGCACTGCTGTTTATATGGAGAGAAAACATGCTGTAACACATGAATTGCACACGCAGCTTCATTTTCAGGTGTCCGAGATAATTGCTGAAAGCTCAGACAGAGAAAAGCCGGAACGTAACAGGAAACGCCGCTCTGTGAATAAAGAGAAAGACGAAAATCTGGGTCGATCAGGATCTCAAAACATTGTGGATCAATAACGGCCACATAAAAGAGAAATAAATCAGGTCACCTCTTCAGCAGGGCATGAAAAGAGCAGATCCGTGAGGAATATTAAAGTGAACCGCTCTAGTAAAACTTCATTTCAAGGCCTGGTCGACAGCTCAGCACTCCGATGGGATGGTTTTCCCAGCGTTTCGTTCCATGTTCATCAACAAGTAAATACAGGCTCTGACTCCCTCTGACTTTATTAGGATGGGATTTGTGTGCTGACAGCTGATTCCTGTCCCAGAGACAGCGGAGTAAATAATAACTAAAGGAATAAGGGCAGGTCAAAGGACATCTATCAGTAAAAATTTAGAAAAGAGGAGGTCAGATAGAAACAACTTCAATAGAGGCACATCAACAGGACCATGAGGCTGATATATAACATGATACTAAGGATATTATACTATATCAAAAATATTATTTAGTGGCAGAATCAATCTCACTATATTAACCTGACTAGCTTAAAATTAAATTGTTCTTAAGGTTCTGGGCAGGTAGAAATACTTAAGGTAATTGTCACGGACTGCTGCTACTGTGAAGGAACGAGGAGACATCGGAGAACATAGAAAACAGGATTTATTAACTCACATGTAGTACAGGAACCGACGGACGTTTAATATCAGACAGAGAAGCTCAGAATAGGACTCACTATAAATACACAGGACTTGACGAGGGGATGACGAGACACACCTGGAACTAATGAAACACAATCATGACAGAAACGGGAAGGACCAAATAAGGGCGAGGAAGGCACATGCGGAGCAAAACACACACAAAACAAGGAACAGAGTCTGACATAACTCCCCCCTCCCGGAAGGCGCGTCCCGTGCCATACAACATCCAACGGGGAGGGGGGTGGGCGTTCTGGAGGCCTCTAGGAGCAGGGTTCCAGGACAAAAGGCCTCCAGGGCGGCGCCCGTTCCGGGACCCACGGCGGATCTGGCAGACTAGGAAGCCATGGCGGAGCCGCCTCCAAGGCCGCGGCCCCAGCCCCCGCCTCTACGGCTGGAGCCCTACTACCCCCCCCCCAAAATACTTGGGGAAGATTACGAGCTCCGAGGCCCTCCGTGGGCCAGACATAGGAACATGAGCCTTCCGTGGGCTAAACTCAGGGACAGGAGCCCTCACCGGGCTAGATTCGGGGGCTGGAGCCGACACTGGAGCGAGCTCTCGGGCGAGGAAGAGGGCCCTGACCCAGTCATTTCTCCTCTTCCTCCTCTTCTGATTACAGGTGAACTGGGTGGCCGGCGGGCTTGAGAGAGCCGCGGCCGGCGGGCTTGACTCAGGAACGGTCAGCGGGTTTGAGTGAGCCATAGCCGGTGGGCTTGAGCGAATGGCGACTTCCATGCCACGGGGAGAAACAAACGGGAAAACAAAAACACTATAAAAAAAATGGAAAAGAAACACAGCGAGAAGAGGCGCCGCTCACTTTTTGCTGGTCTGGTATTCTGTCACGGACTGCTGCTACTAGAGGTCGACCGATTGATCGGCCGGCCGATTAATCGGCCGATTTGTTGCATTTTTTAATCAATCAGCCGATTGTGCTGCAAATTAGGCCGATTTATAGGCAGGCGCACCGGTGGGCAGCTAAGCGTTGTTGCGGAACTCCCTCTGGGCTGCGTGAGACGGAGCAGCAGTGTTGCCGCGGGTTGTTTTTCATGTCCGCGGGTTAAAGCGACCCCGATAACATGATATTTAACCCCTAGAGTGCGAATTTTACCAGGGGAACCCCGCCAGAAACTTTTTTTAAACTATTATCAGATATTTTAGACTACTTTTGTGAGATTTGATGCACTTTCAGATTTAAAGAAATATTGGTCTATTCCACAGATAATGAAACAGCAAGAATACAAACATAAAGCCCTCACCCTACTAGATCAATACATTACTGTGTAGGAATGAGGAGACGAAGGAGCGAGGAGACATCGGAGAACATAGAAAACAGGATTTATTAACTCACACATAGTACAGGAACCGACGGACGTTTAATACCTGACAGAGAAACTCAGAATAGGACTCATTATAAATACACAGGACTTGACGAGGGGACGACGAGACACACCTGGAACTAATGAAACACAATAATCATGACAGGAGCGGGAAGGACCAAATAAGGGCGAGGAAGGCACATGCGGAGCAAAACACACACAAACCAAGGGACAGTAATATCTGCACTTTTTTATTTTATTATTTTTGTTTTTATTTTAGTGTTGTGACAAATCTCACATTATATACATACATATATCAGAATCAGAATGAGCTTATATATATATATAAATATGTATATATATATATTTTTCTCTAGGTTGTGAGGGTGACACACACACATATATATTTCTTTTAAAATAAATGTATCTGAAAAAATATGTAAAATCTGATTCAGTTTTGGGATCCCTGGGAAAACATTGGGGCAAGAATATTTTATATAATAATTTTACGATACTTTCCCCTTTTTTTTTTACAAATAGCTTTTATCCTATCATCATAAATGTAAACGATCAGAAAAAGCGGTTGTGAAGGTTGTTATAGTTGCAGAAGGATATCCTGCGAGTGCAGAAATAGACACAGATCAATAGCAGAGCTGATCGATCCACTCACAAACTATAGATAAATCATTGCTTGCTGTCTATGTACTTGACTGGAGCACCTCTGGATAAAAATATATATCGCTTATTAACAATAAACAGCAACCGACGGATTTATAGTCATATGAACTGCCTAATTATCATATCGTGTTGTCAGTTTTCAAGTTTATTACAGTACACATCCTTACAGAGGTAGTAAAATATTACATTATATATGTATATAACATTGGCTAGTTGTCACACTTTTACTACTCGAGTATTTCCAATGTTGGGTTAATGTTTGAGACTTCTGTAAAGACACTTACTAGAAAAACCTTTTGAACAACTGTCATATCGCTATGGTTTTCAGGTACTCTTTAGGGGAGATGCTGCATGTTGTCTCAATATGGGGCAAGCTGTCACAATGGAAACCTTGTGTTTATTGACAATGATTTGGGGAAAAAAGGCCTAATAGTCTCTAAAGAACATAGTCTGTATCTGTGCACAATACTGCATGTATTTAAAATTATATTACATTTGATATTCGCTATAAAAGCAAATAAAACTATTATTAAAAAATGGGAAATGTGTCATACAAAATATGTAACTCTTATTTTCGGCTAATAATGATATGTATAAAAATACACACATAAAACGTGTGACAACTTGCCCCAGTCTTTACTGCTGTCAGATATGCTTTTTTTTTGCTTTGCATTTCACACATCATCATCATATAATATCATATGTCAATCTTGTTTTAAGGATGTTTAGATATTTTTTTTACTGGAAAACTAGACAAAAATACTTATTAAAAAATAGGCTGTATTGGCAGGGATATAGATTTCATCAGAGTCCAGTGAGAGTCTCCAGAAGTATTTTGTAAAATGGATATTACTAGCTGTACACATTAAGAAAAGAAGAAGAAGAAAAAAACATAAATCACAGTTAAATTATTTAATTATATATAAACACTCTTTGCATTAGATTGTAAACTACTAATCTAAAATCTGCCTAGAAATGACTGACACTGATGTAGCTTACACTATGTTGATTTCAGTCATGATAATTGTCTGGATTTTGCTGTGCATTGATGAATCTCCTGTATGATTTGATTTCTGAGCAATAATTCAGGTATTGTGTGTGTGTTCCTCCGGGAGCTGTGCTGTGGTCATATGGAAAACACAAAGGATCTGCTGTCATAAAGTATTTTTAGCTCAGAGTGAAACACCCAGGGCTCTGAGATACAGCTGACCCGAGTCCCATCTACAACTAATGAAATCTAACGGCGAATCTCCGCTTTGCTACACACCTTAATCAGATTAGACGCCATATTGAATTTAACACGGATGAAAACGAGACTGTGAGTCCCAAATAACAGAGAACGTTCCCATAATGTTCCCAAACATTCTCAATACGTTTAATATTGGACGCTGCAGAACATTCAGAAATAACTTTTCATAACAGTTTCAAAATGATCGCATGCTCCTCTAATGTTTGAATAACCAAGAGAAAAAAAACATTCTTTAAATATAAAATTGGGTGTTTTAAACATTGAAAGAACATTCAAATGTAACATTCTCATAATGTTTTCAAAATGATAAAATAGAATGTTCCTCTTTAATGTTCACATAACCAAGAAGAAATATTCTTAATACATTTAACTTTTGAACGTTTAAAAACATTTTGACATCATATTTTCACAACGTAATGGGAATGTTAGCAAAACGTTCTTAAAACATATTTTTTTGAGTTGGGGTCCAATCTTTACAATGGCACGCACTTTATAAAGGTCCCAGTTTATAAAACTCACAACTTTCAAAACGTTTTTTGTTTTATGGAGTTTTTGTCTAGTAAAAATTTTCGGAAAGACATTTCGTCAGCTTTTAATATTCTAAAAATGTTAAAATGTACAGTTTTTTTCTTCTTCTTGTGATTAGAATGTTATTTAAAGGTTCCTAAAACATTATTTACATGTTCTGCTAACTGTATTTTCACCCGTCGGAATATTTATTTTTAATGTTCTAAGAATGTTAAAATTTCCAGTTTTCTTGTTGTGATTCTAACATTATTTAAAAGTTACAAAACCGTTCTTTACAACACTGTACTATTTAACAACGTCGTTTGCACTGCGCTCTTGCGTTA